ACACACACACACACACACACACACACACACACACACACACACACACACACACACACTGTGATCTTAGTGCATGGAGGAAAAAAAAAACGCATAATTGGGTCTTAATTCTGTGATAAATCAGACTCCCTACAACAGGAAAATGGAATTACAGCTATCATTATGAAGTCATTATAACGTCCCATTTTACTGCAACAATGACGTCCAATAGCTGTGCACGGACTATAATTAGATTTGTTTTTATTAGAGGAGTGTGTGAGTGTGTGTTTGTAGCTGCTGCAGTCAGGATGGATCTGATCTCAGACCGTATGTGTTTCTATTCTAATCGTTTTCTCTGTGTGACAAAAAAAGAAAAAAAGAAAGAGGCGGCTGTGTAAATGCAAAGTGTACAGTTTGTTATTTATACTGCAGCACATGTGCAGACCCTGTGAGTGTGTGTGTGTGTGTGTGTGTGTGTGTGAGGAGCTGCACTGTGCTCCTGATAAGACATAGCATGCCAATTGAGGGATCTGGTGGAGACAAAGATGAAGTCCAGGTTTAGCCCCTCTATCGGCTCTAGGCGTCTGTCTCATTAGCATAATCTCTGCTTTCCATTATCAGCTGGAGAGAGGAGCTGACCCTCCTGATCCACCGGCCTGTCAAACTTTATTCTCCTCCAGCCCGGGGATCCGTATTGTGCTGCCGTCCAGAGCGAGCGTGGAGCTGCTGCAAGCGAGCAAAAACCACACACACACACACACACACACACACACACACACACACACACACACACACACACACACACACACACACACACACACACACAAAAAGCCCCAGTTGCTGTTCAGGTTGTCAGCACGGAGGAGGCGGCTGCAGCAGCGCGGAAACTCAGCCACACTGTGCCTGTGTGACGTGCACTTTTTCATTTAAAACATGTCCAATCACTGTGAGCTCTGCTTCTCAGCTCTGCTTTTCAAATCCGCTCTCAGATGACCCACTTTTTAAAAAAAGAAAGTCTCTGCTCTGCGAAAGCAAACTTAAGAGGCAGAAACACACATAACGTTGAGGTTCAGGTGGCGTCTTGGAGGCCTGACACCGAACGTGTTTCTCATGCCTGTTTTAGTTGGGGTCATCTCATTGAACCGACGGCTCAAAGGAGACACTGAATGTCCCGTCTTATTATCCTATGATCACAGATAAACCTCCTATAACTGCTGGTACTAAAGCTGTATGCAAATCTAGACTCGACACCTTCTAAAAGTCAGACATGAAAGTCGTTAAGGTCAATCAGTTACGCTCCAAACTGGTCAAATATGACAGCTTGGTGTATCGTTATTTTAAATGCTTGTGTGGTGTGAGGTGTTAACAAATGATGCCAATGAGGAAGTGCAAAATAACTGCAGTTCCTCGAGTGTCCATTTGAGGCTGAAATCTCCATGCAGTGTTTTTAAAAGTCCATTTTTTAAGAACAGAAATGACCACATAAACATCCTGTTTTGGTATGATGAGATCAGTTCTTTGTTGTGACACACTGTACTGCAAGAGAGATCTCATATGTAACGCATCTGTTTTCATTATATGAAGGATAAGAGTTATTCATACATTTGCACAATTAGATGTGAGGCTGTTTCCTGCTCTGCCTCTTTGTTCTAATTTGACCAAAAGTTAGTTTTTCAATATGGCGACCGCAACCCCTCGTCTGAAAACCAAGTTTTTAAACGGTTTTCTGGGTCACAAAGAGTGATACTTTGAGATGTTCTGGACAAAAATCACCAAAGACACAAGTAGTACCAGTTTGACCACATGGGGCGCCACAATCAATGCAAACAGAAAGCTCCTCACAGGAGCTTTAATATCACTAAATCGTGGCCATTTTGAATAAAATAAAACACATAAAACGAGTATAGTTATATAAAAGGGCAATTTCTCCTTATCATATATCAGTATCATAGTTGACAAAGGTCCTCATTGAGAAGTAAAGCTACATTTCATTCAGACCTCCAAAGCCGCACGTCGATGTCATGATACGGCAGGTGAAGCTTTTTGTGAGTCGTTTTGAAGATGATGGATTCAAACATGTCAAATGTGACATCTAGCTGCAGGCGGGGCATGCACACAAACACAAAACATTTGACATATTTAGAGTCAAAACAGCATCCATGTGAAGGCTGCAAAAAGCCTTAAATATCCTGGATATAGAAATGAATCCCATAGATTTTCGGTCATAAACTCCCCCAGGTAAATCACAGTTTTCTTTTCCTTTAGAAGTATAATCGCTCGTGAGGATATTGCATCAGTTTATCCTGTGGTGGTTGTAAAATTCAAACTGTTTGCACCTGTCTCAGACTTGAGTTGGTTGGTAAATTCTATCTACATTCTACGCTGTGAAAACGTCGCCTTGCTAACATTACTCCTTGAACTACCTCGGAGGGAAATCAGGCCACTGGTTTGGTTCTAAGGTGACTCAAAATGAAACAACACAACAGGCAAAACAAAAAAAACAGCAAGCCTCACAGCTATTTTCCTGAGTCTGAGGCCAAAGCCACTCAGTGAGGGGGAGAAGAAGAGTCAGAGGGAGAGAAAATACTGCAAGCAAAGAAGCCTCGTTCGTCCCCCTTCTCTCTCTCTCTCTCTCCCTCTCTCACCCCACCTCTGCCCCCTCTCCTCCTTAAAATCCAGCAGCATGTGGAGGGAAAACAAATAAAGAGTCCATCCTGTCACAGCAGCACCCGCAGGACTCGAGGTGCCTTTTGGAAAGTGATCCCAGCCCACTGCAGCGGCCTCAAGTGTTGTCACGCCGAGTTAGTGCCAAATTGCTTCGCACCCCCCCCCCTCCCCCACCACTGCCACCGACCAGCCCCATCCCTCCCCCCAGCCTACCAGCAACAAACAACATGCACAGTATATATGCAGGCTTTCTCTAAAGATGAGTGCGTGTATAAAAATATATGTTTGCTACCTTGGTTTTTAGGAAAACAAATCTTTGCAGGGACTAAACGGTGAAAGAATTGATTTAATTAATGCAGCAGCATGTCCTGCGGCCACATGTAATCCTTTGAGAATTCTCTAGCGGGAGCTTTCAGGCAGGGGGGTGGGGGGGGGGAGCCAGGGGGGAATACAAAAAGATATTCTCCCTGAGACTCTTCCAGTGGCCTGTAATGGGAGCTGCGCACTAATCCCATAATTCCTTGTTTAATTAAACTACAGAGCCGACCCTGTAGTTGTCTAAGCCCGTGTGATGAGCCGTTTCTCTCGCTCTCTCGCTTTTTTCTCTAACATGTGACAAAGTTGTGCAAACAATGAACACACTTCTGTAAACCAATCAATAAACAAACACGTTAGCCACACAGTCATCTACATGAATTACAGAGCTGCACATCTGCAAACATCTGCTCAGGGAAAGACCTCTTCAGGGCTCTTAAACAACTGATCCTTGAACAGCTGAAAGGCTGCGGTGCTCTTTAAACGAACTCTCACAGGTTCAAACACAGTGTGAGGGGATTCTAATGTTTCTAACATCACACATGTATGTGTGTCATCCATGTTTACTTCTTCAGTGTGGCTTGAAGTATTTGTGAGTCAACTGGAAACTATCTCTACAGGAAAATCCCCCAGCGTCAGATTATTATCATCATGATTTAGTTTTGTATATTTTTCAGGGTTTAGATTTTCTTGTTTTATTTCTTAGTCTTCTCTGGTGTTGCTTGTTTCCCTGTAGTGTGTGTTTTTATCTTAATGTTTCCTAGTTTAGTCTTTACTGTTTCCTGTTTTTATTCTGTAAAGTTTCTCTGTTCTAGGGTGTCTTGTTAAAGTCTCGAGTTCTCTGTGTTTCTTAAGTGTTTCCTGATTTATTTTGTAGTTCTTGTCTGCAGTGTTTCTTGTCTTACTCTTACAGTAGTCAGTCCCTGCTCTCCGTTCTGTATCCTGTTAGGACCTCCTGTTCAGTAGGCCGATATTTGTTCTGAGTCATTCAGTGTAGAAGTGGCGTCATTAGCCCTCCTCGTGTTATCGACACTCCAGCTCAGATGTGATCGGCACGACGGCTCAGTGAATAAAATAATACAAAACTTAACAATTTAACAACTTAACAACTTAAAGGCGCGTCACCCGAACCGGCCGTGGACCCAAGAAATGCCCGCTGAATGACCACGAGGGTTCAGTCGACTGAAAAGTCTACGCTCCGTACTGAACTGTGACTTTTCAGAAACGACCTCAGTGTTCCAGTGTCGTTATCAGATTTCCCCCCTATGGTTGAACGTCTTGTTACCAGTGTTTTCCTATAGTGTCTCCTTGTTTCCCCTTTTTGATTTTTTAGTTCTTGCCTTTTGTTCAAATAAATTAGACTTTTGGTTTCTGCACGTGGGTCCCAACACTATTCTGCATGAAAGTGTCTTAAGTTAAAAATCATGACGTTGCAGAGGGTGAAGTCAACCTTATTGAAGCTGTGTAGGTAAATAACTAAAGTTCAGGTTTATTGTGGTCAAATCGAAGCTCTAATCTGCTGATCAAAAAATTCATGCTGCCTTCAGAGAATCTTTAGAAATCATGGAGTGGTACGCCTTATTTTGAAACAGATATCTGAAGCATCAGATAATCTTCCTGTTCCTCTCTGAACAGCAGCATGGACGCTCGAGTGCGTGAGCGAAATCAGCTGCACAATAAATATTCCGGGACTATTTTCAGCCTGCTGTTGTTGTATGTTTGTGTGCGCCGCCCTGAGGTCCTGCAGAGAGAGAGAATGGAGCTACACACATCACCAAGGTGGTCTGGAGAGATTAGCACCCCTCGTTTCACTGACACCCCTGCCCCCGGGGGGATTCTGGGATATGCAGATTCTTTATAGAGAGCAGGAGAATATTGTTTTGTCATATAAATAATCACACAGAGAAATCTTTTAAAGCATCAAACCCTCCCTCCTTACTCTGCATCTCTTTTCTGGATTTGTAGGACGATGAGTTGCATGTTTGTCACTGCAGATATAACACAGAGATGTGAAGTAACCCCTCCATGTGCTTTTTGTCCAGGCAGCCGGATGGATGAGGTGTCAGATGTGGAGTCAGAGCCGGACCTCCCACTGAAGAGGAAGCAGCGCCGGAGTCGGACTACGTTCACGGCCGAGCAGCTGGAGGAGCTGGAGAAGGCCTTCGAGAGAACCCATTACCCCGACATCTACACCAGAGAGGAGCTCGCCCAGAGGACCAAACTCACCGAGGCCAGGGTCCAGGTAATCAACACAATGACATCCGACTGTCTGACTGACTGCTGCTCCACTGACTGAAGAGATGGGGGGGTGGTTACTTTCTTATTTCTGCCATTAACCTGCCATCAAGGGAACAGGCTATTTCCCAGAGGTCTGAATCCTTTCTTTAGTTTTATAGACTTCATAGAGTATCTGCACCAATAGAGCCACACAGGAAGCATTTTGAACACGTGCCACTGCTCTCCTGAAAGTTTTTTTGAAATGATCAGAAAATGATGCCGATTGGGAATGCATAAGACACCTGAATTCAGAGCAGATCTTCCCCGCCTTTATCCGGATTGTGTGAGCACTGCAGGTGTTTTCCGGGCCGCTCGCTGTTGACGATGTTGTTCACGTTGAGAGGATTTTCAGCAAGTTTTTAAAAATGTCAGCAGCTGAATATCCTGAAGTTGTTGTGTGAAAAGCGTTCAAGAGGGCCAGACATGAAGCTGAGTTTTAAACTTCAACCTGAGTCGACTGAGTTGGGTGCAGGGCGGGGGGGGCGAGGACTGATGATAATGACCTGCTAATATAAGAACTTCTCAGTCCATCGACAACTTCAAATCTTTGTTTCAAACTCACCTCTTTGCTCTGGCTTTTAATACAATTTGAGCTTGACATTTTGAAATTTCTTCCTTCCTGCAGCCCTATAGTCTTAAAGTTGACCTTGGAAAATCATCCCAGGAAGAAAAACAGTTTTATTGAATCGACGTTCCGTCCCTTGTGTCAGGGTGCAGACAGCTCTTTGGCTTCTGTCCTGTCACATGTCTTCATCACGCTCACATGGGATCCATTCGCTCAACATCTCTGTGCATTGATGTGAGACTTTGAAGACCAGATTCCACGTTAACCCCCCCCCACCCACCCAACTCTGAGTAATAGTGACACACATAGTCTGTGCAGCTCTGCCAGCTGTTCACTTCTCAGCTGAGGAACCCGTCTCTCTCTGTGCTGCCGTCTGAGTTTGACAGCGAGAGCGAGAGGAAACCCGGCAGAGCGCCGACAACAGCTGTGAGGTGTTCAGCGTCGGTGGTGGTGGGGGTCTGCATTCCTCATGTGTGTCTCACTCTCCAACATCTTGGCTAGAATCTGTGTTTCCCACCACTTTCAAGCCCCACCACTCGTTGTAAAACTCACAGAAGATCACAGACGGGCCCGGCCGGCTCTCTCACGGGAGATCTAATCCTCCACAGATACGAGGGTCAATCAAGACTCAGGGAGACGAAGAGAGGGAGGAGCAAGCATGGCAGGGAAACCAGCAGAGTCAAAGAATAATGCACATAACTCTACCGGACACAACAGCAAAAGTTTTATTTGTCCGTCAGAGAGTGAGAGAGAGAGAGGAGAGAGAGGAGAGAGAGAGAGAGAGAGAGTAGAGAATAGAGAAAGAGAGAGAGGAGAGAGAGAGAGGAGATAGAGGGGAGAGAGAGAGAGAGAGAGAAAGAGAGAGAGGGGGGAATGATGACATGTGAGAAAGGAGCCACAGGTTGGACTTGAATCCGGCTGCCCGCTTAGGGGACTATAGTCTCCATACGTGGGGGCGCAACCTAACCATCAGCGCCCCAATTCAAGGAGATATGCTGAAACCTTTATGGGGCGGGACACGATTGCCAGGCCATCCCGTGCACATTTATTTTTGAATTTTGATAATGGTGGTGGAACGTGCTTTATATCTGCTGGCAGATAAAAGAGTTTCATGCAACTAGAGGCAGATCAAGATAATATTTAGTTTGTTAGTCTTATGTTGCTTAATGCTGATAAGACAAGATGTGATATGGAAGTACTGTTTTAATCCAGAGGGAGAGAGGAACTGTGGCTGGTTGCTGTAACTGTGATGTCAGAGGAGATTCTGATCACAAGTGGAGGCTTTACATGAGGCAGTAAGAGCAGGAATGAGACAGATGCTCCTGTAAACACATGAAATGACTCAGGTGGTTGTAAGGGTTAGTGTCCTGTGTGTGTTTGTGTGTAAATACATTTTAATTAGAGAGAGTGTGTAAGAGGGATAGGAGTGAGGCTTCCTCTTGACCTCCTCATTTTGACTTCACATAACAACGCAGCAGGTCAGTTTAGGAGTGGATACAATTCAGGGATTGGACGCCCGTGAATATGAAAGAAAGACGTGGACTTATAGCAGCAAAGAAGATTAAATATAAATTTATATAATCAGAGTGAGGAGAAACACCAAGTGGATAAAGCTCGTTCTAAAACGAGGGTGAACCTTGTGTTGTCTTTTACCCGTGGACGTGGAGTTGGTCTGCTTCCTGTTGGACAGGCAGGTGATGAACACCGGCGGTTAGCTTGTGCTAGTGTGCGTTAGCTTCCAATGTCGCTAAAGGCAGTAAACATACACACTACGTCCTGCAGGGAGTCCAGGAGGAGGAGGCCCTGTTTGAATGCTTCGATTAAAACCTACTTCATAAAATGCTGCTGACTCCACCTTTAAGAGAATTTATCGCTAACTGCATTAATGACCTGCTATTTCAGTTTCAGTGAGGTTTTTTTAGAGTCAAACTGTTAACATTTGCTGGTTGAAGCTTTGTGATGTGTGGATTTGCTGCTTGTCTTCATCAGTGAATGAAGAGCTTTTGTTTTTTTGCTACACTGGTTGGAAAACAGACGCTTTTTCAGGAGAAAATGTGACAGACATTTTTGCTTTTTGTCACATTTTGTGTATTAGAAGGAAGCAGAAACTTTCCAGAAGTTCGTCTGGCAGATATTTAAATTCAAACCTGAAATTCTTTTTTCATTTTTCAGATACAGCTGAAGTTGAATCAAGTCAACTAAACCTTTACATGTAAATCAGAATCAGTCGACTCAAACTTTAAAGTACAGTAAGACACATTTTCAAAAGACTTTCATGCTCAAACATCCACCTTCTTAAAACTTGAATATATATATATATGGTGATTTATTTGATTGAAAAGCTTGTCAGAGACATATTTGCACATAAATGCACACATACATTTTACTTATTACATATGAGCTATGAATGAAATATCATGAAAAGCGTGTCTCAGCTTTTTTTCATCTGTAGCAGTGGTTGGGTGGAGGTCTCGCTTGTCCACACTCTCTGCTCTGCAGGAGTTGGACCGTGGAGTTGAGCAGTCCGACTTCTTCTTCTTCTTCTTCTTCTTCTTCTTCTTCTTCTGCTGCTCTTGCAGTCAGTTCCTCGGGGCGACAACACCTGCTCTAATTATTTGAGTCTCCTCTTCAGAAATAGGAGTCCAAATGATCGGCTCCACTTGAAAGGCATGTTTTCATTTGCTCCAAATGAAAAAGGAGGATTCCTGGAGAAAGAGGGCGGGCGGGAAGCTGGAGGCAATACATGGATTCCTGATGCTGCTGTGTGTGTGTGTGTGTGTGTGTGTGTGTGTGTGTGTGTGTGTGTGTGCTTATATTGAACTCGTGAGTGGTATTGTGTGGTTTGGTTCAGGGGATACAAATGATGAAAAGGCAGTAACCTGTGTGTCCTGAAGTAGGACATATGTGTGTGTGTGTGTGTGTGTGTGTTTTGAAGGGTTTGACATTTGAGTAGACACAGATTTCCTGCAGAGCGACAGGCTCGTACTAGCTCTGAGCTTCTGTACTTAAGTTGCTTTAATTAAGAACTTTGAAATTGGTCTTCCCGCTTAGTTGAAAAAGAAGAACAGTTTAGCTTTTGGCGAAACACCACCCCCCCCCCCCCCCGTCATTTCACAATCTACCTGATTCCGCCCACTTCAACAGCGTAGTGTGCGTGTGTGTGTTTAACCTGTCCCCCTGCCTCACAACCTTTTAAACCCTTAAGAAATGATGATGCACCTCTTCAAAACAGATGATTGTGGATAATAAGCTCTAATGCACCTTTAAACGGCAGCTGAGGTTTTTCCATTAGATTATTTTATTAATTATAAATCTTCCTGATAATTTACTTATGCCCTAAAAATGCACAAATGTATATAAAAGACACAATTTGTATGTCAGATGAAGCTCATTACAGTCTGCAGTCTGCAATCACATTTACCATCATTTGTAGGTGATGATTTTTAAAGGGGACATATTATGAAAAATCCACTTCTACAGTGTTTTCTGAACATATATTTGGGTAACCTGAGTGTCTACTGACCCCCAAAATGTGAAAACCCATCCAGTCCTTTGTTTGTGGTCTGCATAAGTCTTACAACACAGAGAAAAATGCTCCGTTTCAAATGTGCTCTCCTTGTGATGTTACAGTGGGATTCTGGTAATAAAAAATATCCTCCTCTCCCCTTTTATATTTTTCATCGATAGGGTTTCTAGTTTAAAGGCTTTATATTTGAGTTTTTGATCCAGCAGATGTCGCCCTTGAGCACCAGCATGAAACAAAAACAACTTGCGGTGCATTGTTGTGTTAGCATGCTAATGCTAGCGATCTTTATTATGCTGGTATCTTCACACTGCATGTAAATTTACCTGAAATGAGCGTGATCTAGAAACACAGTTAAGCAGTGAGTACAGTATGTTATTCTTCTTTTCTCTAGTCCCTCAATTAAACAACTTTTATACATGAGGGGAGGAGTCAGCCGGCCGTCTGGGCGATGTAAACAAAGTGAAGATAGGACTCTGAAAACTCTGAAAGCATCACAGACAGTGGGACTCGGGTGTTACACCCATTGTAGACAGTCATGACTCACAGAGTTATTTTCAGAGGATATACTTGATTTATATTACATTTAAGTGTGAAAAATCACATATAAAGCCTTTAAATATTGTATTTGTAATCATTTTTTATACTCATCTGTTATAGTTTCCTTTGTGCTTTTGTTGAAATATACATTGCACCTTAATTTCATAAGACAGGTGCACAGTAAAGGAACGAGTCATCAGGGACATCAGAGATGAAGGTGGTACCAGACTGTCAGGAAGTCCATTAATGCAGCTCAGGCAGTGTGCAGGACTTTGTGCTGTTGTGAAGTCCGATCTAGTTTGTAGATTAGATTCAACAAAACTGTTGTTCCTCCAGTTCTAAATCCTCCGCGCCGATTGTGAAACCTTTAAGCGGTGTGTGTGTTAGCGCCTTTGATCGGCCATGTGTGCAGCGTTTAGCCGAGCGATGTCGACGCCTCCTCTCCCTCCTCTTTTGGCCTCCATTCATCCTTTTTTGAGTCTGCATTCAAGGCGTCCCGAGTCAGTTAGGAACATCGCATGATTAACCACACACACATAATGAAGTGCACACACACTCCATTGACGTAGCGTTTACTTTCTCTTCCATTCCAGAGATCAATCAGCTCTTCTTTTTATCCACTTTGTTGAACGGCCCCGATGAAACTGATGATTTTGTTTTGCTGCTCTTTGATCGTTTGGTTTGATTGTTTTTTTTTTAGGTGTGGTTCAGCAACAGGAGAGCACGGTGGCGAAAACAAGCCGGAGCCAATCAGCTAGCGGCGTTCAACCACCTGTTGCCGGGCGGGTTTCCTACCACGGGGATGCCGACACTGCCTACGTACCAGCTGCAGGAGTCGAGCTACACATCCAACGGCCTGCAACAAGGTAGAGCCATCTTTTATATCCTTTGTGTTAAGCCCCTTTTAGCACACAGATTGATATCTGTTCTCTCCTCTTCAGACGGCGGTGCCACGGTTCACCGTCCTCAGCCGTTACCTCCGTCCACCATGCACCAGGGCAGTCTGTCCGGCAACGACAGTGGCTCCGCCTATGGCCTGTCCTCCAACCGCCACGGCTTCTCCAGCTACTCCGACTCCTTCATGACCTCCGCGGCACCCAACAACCACGTCAACCCCGTCAGCAACGGACTCTCCCCGCAGGTAAGACGTGCTGAAGACGATAGCACTTAAAGGCTTTATATGTGATTTTTCACACTTAAATGTAGAAATCAAGTATATCCTCTGAAAATAACTCTGTGAGTCATGACTGTCTACAATGGGTGTAACACCCGAGTCCCACTGTCTGTGATGCTTTCAGAGTTTTCCAAGTCATAGCGTCACTTTGTTTACATCGCCAGGACGGCCGGCTGACTCCTCCCCTCATGTATAAAAGTTGTTTAATTGAGGGACTAGAGAAAAGAAGAATAACATACTGTACTCACTGCTTAACTGTGTTTCTAGATCACGCTCATTTCAGGTAAATTTACATGCAGTGTGTAGATACGAGCATAATAAAGATCGCTAGCATTAGCATGCTAACACAACAATGCAGCGCAAGTTGTTTTGGTTTCATGCTGGTGCTCAAGGGCGACATCTGCTGGATCAACAAATCGCATATAAAGCCTTTAAGTCATTCTGTTTCACTCTGGTGCGTTGTCTTGTTTTCTGTCTTTCTCTGAGTCGAGAAGAGAATCCAAAAAAAAGTCTCAAGGACTGGTCTTTGACCTTTGACCTCCATACTTTGGCTTAAAGCAGACGGGAGGTTCATGCCCTCCACCAAACGAGAGAGGACACATTCTGGTCACTTCTAAAAAAGATGTTTTTTTAGAGTCTGGTACATCCCTAAAGCTCAGGATCTCTAAAGCTGTTCTTCAGTGTTTGAGGCGATGTGAGGTCAGCAGCCACAGAGAGCATCCTGTATGTGTGAGCTTGTCTGTTGTCAGAGAAGTTGTTTGCTCAACAAAAGGTGATTTTACGAGAAAATGTTCTTTTGTTGGAATCATCTGAACACTTTCATCCCAGGTTGTTTAATAGAGATGATACCTGATAGGAGAGATCTGACTCTTTTTCAGATTTTAGGTTAGTGCATGCTTTGACAGTCAGACAAACATCAAGCTGGGCGCCTGTGTTTAGGATCTGTATCTTCAGTGTTTGGAGCGATGTTTCCAGCAGATACTGGCGGCTGTGGCTCAGTTGGTAGAGTTGTCGCCTCTCAACCAGAATGTCGAGGGTTCAATCCCCAGCTGAGCAACATGTCTGATGTGTCCTTGGGCAAGACACTTAACCCTGCATTGCTCCCGCTGCTTCAGTGGTGGTGTATGAATGGATAGGTGTGGTACTTACTCTCTGATGTATGTCGCTTTGGATAAAAGTGTCTGCTAAGTGAATTGTAATGTTGTAACATTGTACTAACATGTAGCTACTGATTGATGTCACACACATGCCATCAGCTGATACCTGCATGAGAGTGCAGCGACAGTGAGCGGGGACAAAGCAGTGCTGTCTTCCTATTTGTAAAGCGGGTCTACATGAGTATAGTCTGTTCCACCACTACCTGTACTCCACAGAGTCATTCAATGTGGAAGTTCTTGCATGTTGTGTCAGGATATTATTGGTCTGCATGTGGCCTTTGTGAGTTTTCTTCTGACAAACATCGTTGAGACTTCACTCGTTGCTTTTACCTTTTCGTTAATGTTTCATGAAATCAGTCAGTGCTGATGTAAACATCAAGTCTCATGAGGACGGAGAAGAATGTAGATCGACGTAATCAGAGCGTAAATATTGCGGCAGATAAAAGGCCTAAAAATACTGATAAAAGTGCATCAAAGACGGTAAAGAGATTAAAATAGAGCCCCTCCATATGAAGCTCATACTTAAGACCACCTTCATACAGCATCATATGTGTGTTTTGGTATTCTGTGCTGCTTTATTTGCTCTAAATCTGAACGTTGCGTCCTCCTGGACAGCTTTCAGGTGTATTTATGAGCTTAAGGCTCGACTGCCTTTTACCACCAACTGTTACAGTCGTATGTAAAAACCAACATACGTGTCGACTGCAAAGAAAATCCCATCAAATGTAAACCCAAACATCTCCGGTAAATTCATTTGATTGAAACATGAAATGCATCGAGGCCGCTGCTCTTCTGTGTTTATTGTCCTCTCTCGGCGTCGACGGCTGCGAGTCCCAGCTGAAGCTTTTTTTTCCATTATGGGTTCACTGCGTTTGACCCTTTCATCATGTTCCCGGGCATTTACATGAGATAACAATGTAGGGAGAATTTCCTAAGATCCCACTTCAAAAAAAAAAAAAATTGCAGGGAGACCATATGCTGCACGTCTGACAGGCAATAATTCAATTTTGAAGCAGCTATATTGCATTTGGAATGTAATTCACACGAGCCATTTCAGCGCCTCCTCCTCCTCCGCGATTGAACGGGAGAGAATTAGAGGCCCGACTTTCATGTGGAGACGGAGCGCATGCAGCCAATTCCAAGTCTTATTGACAGGAAGACAAAATGACAGAATGAAAACGCCGTCACTATGATGGTCACTGCATGTGTAAATAGAAAACGCTCTTTTTTCACAGCTTCACCATCTGAGTTATAACACCCCCCCTCCCTCACCCCCCCCCTGCAAAAGAAATAAACCTTTTTTTAAACACACTTTTTGACAAATTCCCATAAATCTATTTTGCTGTAAGTGGTAAGGAGGTTTTTTTTTTTTTCTCCTCCTTCTGCCGGACCACTAATCCGTTTCTGTCAGGTCAAACAACTTAGTGACCTGCCACTGAAGATGAAACTATTACTTCCCACAGTGACCCCGACACTTCAACACATCACACCAGTAAAGAAGAAGAACACATTTCTCCCTCTCTCTCTCTCTCTCTCTCTCTCTCTCTCTCTCTCTCTCTATCTCTCTCTCCCTCTTCGCCCCGCGCTCTCATTTCCTCTCCGGTTTGTTGTGAGCGAGGGAAGATTTAGCCTGCTTTGGAATGGTGGAGCTCTCTGGCTCGCTATTTGATGTCGGGGTGAGGGATAGAGAGAGAGAGAGAGAGCGGGCGGGCGAGCGAGGATAGAATAGAGTGGGTTTCAGTGTTGGGGGATCAGAGCTGCTTTGGTTCTCCAGCTCTGTCTCTTTGATCCATATCCCCAGGCCTGCCTGCCTGCCTCGCTAACTCAGGCCTCTGCTCGTGATTCCTGACAACTGTCGGCCTGAGATAAGGAGGTGGGGGGTGGGGGGTGGGGATGGAGGGGGCTCTCTCTTACCCCCCCCCCCCACTCCCTCTACACAACCTTCCCTCCTCGCCCCCCCATCCTGCACACTGCAGCACTACCTCAAACACTTCCATTAACGTTAAAAACCCTATATATGTGTTGAAATATATTCAGGAACCCCCTCCCTTTAAAAAAATACAAATACCCCCCCCCCATCTCGTGCTCCTATAGTTCATAATGTGTTGACACGGCTGCACGCACCTGCATGTCAATGAGTGCGCTTCCCTAATATTAGTCTCAGCTTGCTATTAAAATCTGCGGCTCTAAGCCCTTTGACTGGGCACGCTGTCAACTGGCACGCTCCCATGTCAACAAATCAAAAAGGATGAGCACATATATTTACATCATTCCCATAATGAGGAGCAGAGAGGGGAGGGGGGGGGGTGTGGGGTGCAAAAGGGGGAGGGGGGAGGGATGTTAATTAGAAATCGCCTGAAAAACAGATGCAGCTTCAAGTTTGGCACCGAGCGAAGCAAGGAGCTTTATGGCAAATAAATAAATAATAAGACAAGACCTACTCAAGAAAGCTGCCAGAAAAGCAGAGGAATTTAAATCATACCCACTGATGGAATGTTTGTAGGATATATTTTTCTTTATTTATCACTCAGAGTCTTCTCCTCTCCTCCTCCTCCCTCTGTGGAAACCAAACAGAGCCCTGGGTGCTGTCTGACTGACTGAGTGGGTAGAAAAGTGTTAAGCCCCTCTAGTTCCTGCGGTTCAGATGGAAAATGTAGGCGTCGACCGGCTGCACCGAAAACCAACAACTACAACCTCGAACTCTCCCGCTGCTCTTTTGATCACTCGCACCGTTCGTGACCACAGCCGATAATAACGCTCGATTCTGATTGGCCAAAGGGGGTTCGCATTATTCACCGATAACTTTACATCTCGTTGACGCAATCGGCTGAAAGAAAAAAGACAGAGCTGGAGTCGTGTGAAGAGTTGCTCTTTCTGGGCGGGATTAGAATTCAGGTGAACGTTTTCACGAGGCGGTCCGCGCTGCAAACGGCACGACAGGTTTGTCTTCCAAAACGAGGCGGTCAGGTGAAGTAACATAAAGAGCGATACGGTCTGTTTCTGAGGTCCGCTTCTCGTTTGAAAAAGTCAACACTGTCCTCTCTTACAGGCACACGTACTCGTGTCATATAACATGCGTCCTCATTTCCATCAACAGAAGTTACATAGCGACTTATTTCAGCCATGACTTTGATTTTCTTCTGGAAACAACCTCACAATGTTCACGCCGTGGTCCACAGAGGAGCGGATGTAGAGAGTGCTTCTGTTACGCACATAAAACCCAAAACAAGTTATTTCCCCGGTCCCCAAACCAAAGGCAAAAACTAATCTTGTGATTTAAACAAGCATTTATTTTAACACAGAAGTTCAAAACACCTATCAAACAAAAGACAATCTCTAAACCTAACTTTTTAACAAAACCAAAAACAGGAGAAAAAAGTGAGCAAAAAAGAAAATGGCAAAAAACTGCTTCTCAAACAAAAGACTTACTCAACAGTCTAACAAAAGACTAAGTAACAAGGCTTTAACAACAATATAAGACAAGTTTGGAGGCCATCATCCCGACCAATGACGGCGGTGTCCTCCCTCCAGCTGATCAGCTCCTCCAGCGAATCCCCGATCTCCACCTGCAGCAGCATCAAAGATCCTCACACTCGCACACACACAGAGGTCTCACACACACCACAAGGCAATAAACACAATACAGCCAGGGCGGTAACAGCTTCTGATGGACTTTTGGAGGGTTGGAATAAACCAGATAACATGTGGCTGTTTGGTTTTAAAGAAAGCAAACAGAAACTCCCTCTCTCACCTTCACTGCTCTCCTGAAGATGTCCCCACACTGTCTGGGAGAGCTGCATGAGGAACCAC